GGGGGTGGGGGTGGGTGTGTGTGTGGGTGTGTGGGTGTGGGGGTGTGTGTGTGGGTGTGTAGCCTTTCCCTTGTCCTAAACTTATATCTTGAGCCTATGCTGGTTTTTGGTGCTTCATTTACTTTTGACCTATGGGCCCAGACCAGTCTTGTATTTCTGATAACTATAGATTCATTATTCTAGTGCTAGTCTTCTTCTCAAAGGTTCCTGAGTTAGAGAATTTCCTAATTTGTCTCTACTGTGCATTTTTGGAATATATACGTAAATCATTTTGAGGTTTTCAGAAAGTACTGCTAGGAACTTTGGAGCGAAACTAAATGAACAAAATGAGAAGATAAAATCTAAAATGTAAAAATTAAGCAGAAGAAATCTTGATAGTATTTTGCTATTACTATAAGTATGAGCAGGAACTAGCAAAAGATGGGTCTAGGGAAGTAGGTGAAGCTGACTCTGAAGGGTCTTATAAGTGATGTGAAGGGGAATTGCACTTTATCTGATAGGTTAATAAATCTGAGAAGCAGTATTTGGAGCCAGGAGGCTATTTAAGAGGACATTATAGTAGTCTGGGACTCTTAGTGATAGCTGATGAGATCCTGAACTGGGGGCAGAGGTCCAGCTTGAATGAAGTTAAAGTCATGGATTTGGAAAAAAAAAATGAGGATAAAATCATTAGGAAATTTGCTTGATTGGGTGGTAGAGATGGTGAAAGAAAATGTGGAGTAAGAGTAACTTGTTTATTTCTTTCTTCAGTGACTAGGTGGATAGTGCTGCCACCAGCAAAGCTGGGACCATCAGGAAGAGCAGGTGTGTGTGGTAGAGGGGGAAGTGGAGAGACGAGTTCCATCTTGGACATGTTTGATTGGCGGTGCTTATGGTATCCAAGTTAGATATAAGAATCTGACAGTTAGAGATCAGGACTACAGATATACCACATTTCCTCAGTTAAGAATTATTTTCTCTGTGTTTCTGATCTTGAGAAGTGTCTCATAATTGGTGTGTACTTTTTGTGTGCTGTTTCTCTTTAAAGGGAGCCCTGGTGGTGCAGTGGTTAAGTGCTCAGCTGCTAACTGAAAGGTCGATGGTTTGAACCCACCAGCTGCTCCACAGGAGAAAGATGTGGCAGTCTGCTTCCGTAAAGATTTACGGCCTTGGAAAGCCTATGTTCTTCTCTGTCGTACGGGGTCGCTATGAGTTGGAATCGACTCATCGGCAGTGGGTTGGTTTATTTCTCTTTAATTAACTATTATTAAATTGATATCATATTGCCAGTGAGATTGCACAATTGAGGAAATGTGGTAGACTTTGGAGTCAAAAGATTGATGTTTCATGGAGTCTTTTTTTTTAAATTATATTTTATTGTGTTTTCAATGAAGGTTTACATAGCAGTTTAGGTTTCTGTTCAACAATTTCTACACAAATTATTCATTCACATTGGATACGTTCTTCACAATATAAGAACATTCTCATTATTTCCTTTCTGATTGTTCCTTAACAGTAGATGAAATAAGCAAGGAAACATACAGGGCACAGAGATAAGGGAGAGTGAAAAGGATATGTTCTACAAAAATAGTTTGTAGTTTGTAGAGTGTTTTCACGTGTATCTTTTCATTTTGTGTTGATAGCAGTCTAAATTTTTGAAGATGGTAGTATTTTTATTTTCATATGTAGAAACTGATGGTCAGTGAAGTGTGAATACAGGGATAAACTTTTTTTCTTAATTTTTTTTTTATTATAGTTGTCTTACAACTATAATAAATGAATGGCCATACACAAGTATTCTGCTATTCTCGTTTATTGTTTACTCTTACAAATGAAAGCATATAATGAACGAAGGGAACTATTAACACAGTTAGGAGCTCTGGTTGCTCAGTGGTTAAAGTGCTTGGCTGCCAACTGAAAGGCTGGCAGTTCGAATCCACTAGCCACTCCGTGGGAGAAAGGTACGGCAGCAGTCTGCTTCCATAAAGATTATTGCCTTGGAACCCTATGGGACAGTTCTACTCTGTCCTATAGGATTGCTGTGGGTTGGAATAGACTCTACGGCAGCGGGTTTATTAACATAGTACTTTTCTGCTATTCTTTGTATTCTCCAAATGTTAACATTTTATCACATTTACTTTCTCTCTCACATATACATAAACATGCATGACACACATTAGTTTTCTTCTGAACTGTGTTAGAGTAAGCTGTAGACCAAATTCCCTTGTGCCCCTAAGTACTTCATTGTTATCTCCTAAAAACAAGTACATTTTCTTGTATAATCACAGTACAGCTATCAAAAATCAGTAAATTGTCATTGATACAGTACTGTTATCTAATTTATAGACCTTATTCACATTTCATCAGTTGTCTCAATAATGTCAGGGATACATTTTTTTATTTGTCAGACTTTAGTACAAATGAAGGGCCAAACCAAAAAACCAAACCCGTTGCAGTCCAGTCTGTTCGACTTATAGCGACCCTATAGGACAGAGTAGAACTGCCCCATTCAGTTTCCAAGGAGCGCCTGGTGGATTCAAACTGCCGACCTTTTGGTTAGCAGCCGTAGCTCTTTACCACTATGCCACCAGGGTTTCCTATTGAAGGGCGGTGTCACATAAATAAGCAAACCCATAGATTGAAGTCAGAGCATTTGTAAGCGTAGTCTGCTTATTTGAAATTATTAGTGGACATGAGCTATATGTAGCTAACTACAAAGCTACAGTAATCAAAATGTGATACTGGTGTAAGGATGAACATATAGACCAATGGAATAGAATTGAGGATCCAGAAATAAACTCTTACATCTCTGGCAAATTAATTTTCAATAAGGGTGCCAAATCCATTTCAATGGGGAAGAATAGTCTCTGCAGTAAATGTTGCTATGACAATTGGATTTTCACATGCAAAAAAATTAAGCTGTACCCATACCTTCACACTGTATTTGGAAATTAATTCAAAATGGATAAGTGATGTCAATATAAGCGCTAAAACTCTGAGAAGAAAACATAGAGGTAAAGCTTCAAGATCTCCTTTTAGGTAATGAATTTTTAGATATGACAACAAAAGCATGAGCAAGAATAGGAAAACATAAATGGGACTTTATCAAAATTAAACCTTTTTTTTTTTTAAATCAAGGGACATTATCCAAAAAATGAAGAGACAACTTACAGAACTGGAGAAAATATTTGGAAATCATATATCAGATAATGATTTAATATCCACCATATATAAAGAAATCTTAAAGCTCAACAAGAAAAAGGCTAACAGCCTAATTAAAAAATGGGCAAAGGACTTGAATAGACATTTGTGCAAAGAAAATACACAAATGGCCAACAAGTACATGAAAAGATGCTCAGCATCATTAGTCATTTGGGAAGTGCACATCAAAACCATATTGAGATTCTGTTCACACCTACTAGGATGGCAGTTATCAGAAAAATGGAAAATAACAAATGTTGGCGAGGATGTGGAGAAATTGGAACACTTGTGCATTGCTGGTGGGAATGTAAAATAGTGCAGCTGCTGTGGAAAACAGTTTGGTGTTTCTTAAAAAAATTCAATATAGAAAAACCACATGACCGAGCAGTTCCACTCCTAGGTATATACCCAGAAGACGTGAAAGCAGGAACTCAAGGTAGCAGGCTCATTTCTTTCCATCTCCCAGCTGATAGGAAAGAGGAAAAGGCCATGGGAACACAGGCTCATTTCTGACAAAACATTGCTTCTGCTCATATATCATTGGCCAAAACTTAGTCACTTGGCCACACTTTGCTGCAATGGAGGCTGAGAATTCTATCTGCGCAGCCGTATTTCCAGCTAACACTCAGGGGCTTCTACTACTAAAAGGAAGAATGGCAGAATGGATATTAAAGGCAACAATTTCTGCCACACAGTTTTTGATTTAAAAAAAATTTTTTTTAATAGATCAGTTGTTCCAGGAATCAAAGAATCTGAGTATTTGATTAAGACCCACCAGATTGTTTATTATGTTGCCTGTTCCTCACCATAGGTGATGCAGAAGGCCATATAGAGCCTGATAGTGAGAAATTTACCATCTATTCTAGGAGACAAGACTAGTTATATTTGAACAATTCAGTAGGTGTCAGTTGTGGCATATTGTGTTAAACTGTCATGGGCTGTAAATATTTGTAGGAAAGGGGAATGGAGGGGTGTGGTCATAAGAAAAGGTTGCGTGGAGAAGTTAGGATTTTAGTCAGGCCTGAGGATGAAGTAGGGTTTGTATGGTCTTAGGCAGAACATTCTAGGCAAGTGGAACAGTGCAGGAAAGTGCCAAGCCAGAATAATTGAGTTGTATCCAAGGGAAAGAAAGACATCTGTTCTGATCGTCTCCCAGAATATATATGTTGGAATAGTACAGAATAAAATTGATTTAAGAAGGATTAAGATTATAGATGGTCATGAAAGCAATATAGCTGAAAATAGAAAACCGTGTTAAAGATTTGGAGTCCAATAGTGAAATGGTGAAGATAGTTTAATCTGGTGATGGAATTCAGAATGGATGAATTCCCTCCCTCTCTCCCTCTATCCTTTCCTCTCTTCTTCCCTCCTTTTCTCTATGAGGTTATCTGTGACCTCTTATTACCTCATCCAGAAGTTCATTCCTAGCCCCATTCTGCTTGACCTCTCTGAAACATTTGACACTGTTGACCATCTTTTCTTTAAAACTCTGGACTTCTGTGCACTGGTTTTCTGTTTCTTCCTTCTTGTGGCTGCAGTTGTCATCTCCAAGAAGGTGCTCACATCTATGTCTCTAGTTTGAACTTTAGTCCTATATTCACAGTAGTGTTTCATATGTAGTGCTTCTATACTGATAGGAAAAAATAAGGTCTGCTGCACAGACTATTCCAAACAGTCTGACACAATGGCAAACACCTAATTGACCTTGATGCTAAAACTTAGCAAGATGTTTTGAGGGGGAAAAATTAAAGGCTGCTTCATATTTTTTTGAATGAATACTGTAGATCACTTGAGTGTTCTATAGGCCACTATTTAACATATTTAATTAACAGTAATAAATACTTAATATACTTAACATCTTTTGGGTATTCTTTTCAGTGTTGTTGAAGTGTAAAAATTACGTAGATGGAAGATAAAAGAACACAGGGCTGAGGGCAGAAAGGGAGAACTCCTAAGATGTCTGCAGTTACTTTTTGGTAGCTTGCCCTTTCAGCAGGGTGATTATATAAACTGATTTTTTCCTCTTTACATGATTTTAATATTTCACATGTATATTTCAACTCATGTTTCCACAAAAGGGCGGACAGTAGGACAGTTGAACTGTGATGTTAGTAGTTTAAAATAACAGACATCTAAGAACCATTCACGTTGACTAGAGCATATTGTCTCATGGCATCTGCCTAAATATGAAACGAAGACTTGTTTTCGTTTCAGATAATTTTTTAGGAGACTTAAAACAACACATTGTCTTTAAAAATACTTCTTAAATTCTGTTAAGAAACACATCCTTTTAAACTGCCATAAATTCATGTTGACATGTTCTTCAGATTTTCAGGCTGCATGTGTTTAAGCTCTTGAAGAAGGTCATGTTGATTGGAACTTTGTTAATATTATTTAAAATATTTATATTTTAAAGTCAAAATTTTAATATTCCTCTTTAAAAATATAGAAAGACATTTGCTATAAAATTATTAAATTCTAGTTGTTAATATTCTGTTGAGATGAAACATACCTCAAGTACTATTCTAAATGTTGAATAACCCATTGCTGTCGAGTTGATTCCAACTTATAGCGACCCTATAGGACAGAGTAGAACTGCTTCATAGGGTTTCCAAGGAGCAGCT